TTAGCTTAAGCGGTTGTAAGCAGTTGGCTCTGTCTTGAATAAAATATCTACGGAGAAGAGAAAAGCTACCTCATTCCACTACCTCATTCCTTTATACATCTCATCAAATTATCTTCTTCGTCTTAATATTGTTGGTTCTGTCTTGAATAAAATATCTGATTTGTATCTTGGATCGAACTGAATTGGGCTTACTTCATCTTAAGATCATTCTTGTAATCACCTTTACCATCATCTTTCAATAACGCAACGAAAGAGTTGGCAAGTACAAGATACCCCTCATCATGGTCTATTAAACATGTCAAACGTCAACACATTCATCATAGCACTCAAATTTTGCAGTTCTAGTTTGCATATACATTCTCTATTAGTGTTACAATATTGGAAATACCATATTGCATGTGAAAACATAAGCACATAAAACAACACTTATAATCCTTCATAATCTTGGTAATGGGGGTGAAGTATGTGTGACAATGAAGTATTGGGATGGATTTTACGATCTGCAATTTTACGAGTAAGTATTGGGAGTGCAAATACTTAATGGGATTTGTTCATTAAATTTTCAAATGATACTTACAACTTCTAATTAACTATTCCTACTAAGATTGGATTGAAGAGATCTGTATAAACACAGTAAATCCTTGTGATTTTTTGGAGCGATTGTGAGGAATAACACAAAATATATACCGATCCAAAGTGCATTATATATTACCGCCGCATCTTGGAGCTTCCCTTGTGTGAAGAAGAAAATCTTTAAAATCAAAGAGATTGTAACATCCAAAAGTTGAACCTCAGCTAAACTAGATGGCTACCGACATGTTTGTCAATGAGATCTTAGTGAAAATGTGATACTCGAAGTGAATCCATATTGCATACAAGTTAGAAATCCTATATTAGAGATTTTGACATAATAATTCAGAGAAATATGTCTCATCATGTTGTTCAATATGGGTGTAATCGACATCAAGGGATTTAATGGGGGCTTGATATTACAAGGACATGGATCCCACATATTAGAACAGTTTCTCCTAACCGCGTAAAACATATATGGTGTCATTTTTATACTTTTCATATGTACACTATTTTGCCCTATGGGTACTGAAATACGCCCTTAGTCATCTGTTTCTGTGTGCACGAATTTTTCGAAGCCCAAATCTAATTTTAGATCAGTACGCAACTCTAATCAAATCCATATATATATCACAAGGGTGCAAAAGGCTTGTAGACGAGTTAAACTCCTGATGAATGTATTACAGATTTTATGCTTTGTATAAAGTCTTTGTTGAGATTTCATTTTACCTGGAGAGTAAAGCTTTATGTTACAGGGCCGGTCCTATTGGGCAGCTCATCAATTTCCAAAAGTGGAAAATCGGGTCTTGCATAGGCAAATATGTTTTCTTTGGCATGCCAGCTTCTGCTTTTCACCAACATTATTTTGTACATGGAACACCGTTTTGGAGAAGCAGGTATGATGTGCTTTTGCTTTCAGCTTTTGTAGAAATCACTTTATCAATAAGCTAACCACTGCCAAACACCCTCTTAAAATCATAGTCCCTGCCAAATTAAGTTATAACTTCTCATTTAATTTTACTTTTTTTTTTATTATAAAAATCAGTTTACTTAAACATTGATATAAAACTAATTAAGAACTTCAGTGGAGTTCCCATGACATTGGAACCCTATGTCATGGGATGACCCGGGGTTTCTTCGGAGCCCCGTGTGTAAAATTGACAATTCCTACTCCCCTAACCCCTGATAAACCCCCACCCGCCCCGACCCGAATACACGCGTACCCCATTTAATTGCACCCTACAAGTTGATTTTGACTTTCAAGTCAAAATTTGACTCCAAAGGCAAAACCAACTTGTAGGATGCAATTGAAGGGGGTGAGGTGTGTTCGGGTCGGGGCAGGGCAAGGGGTTTACCGGGAAGGTTAGAGGGGCAGGAACCATCAATTTTACGAACGGGACACCAGAGTACCCCCGGGTAATCCCATGACATTGCCGAACAATGTCATGAGAACCGTCCCCAAGAAACCTACATACAAAAGAATACATCTAAAATTCTACAAAACAAGAAGTGATAAGAATATTTATTTTATCAAATAATTAATGAAAATATATAAACAAACAAAAATTTTCGAAAACTAGATTTAAAAATTGTAATCCAATTTGAAACAAAGAGAGCATCTTATAAAAGGTATTTGCAAAAAGAAAAAAAGCATGCAATATGGATTGACCATATAATTCAAAATGTACATTTAATGATTTAATATTAAAAAAATAATTCAAAAAATCACTCGTAATATCTTAATAAAAGGTTGTAGAGAGCACTACTTTTATCCCAGATTCCCAGTATATTTATCGAGCTTGATTTTTCGAGTCAAAATAGACAAACTTTGAGCTTCAATTGCTCTCGACGTGTATTGCATATCAATAGGGTAAAATAAAATTGATAAAATTCTCAACTAGATAAACTAATAAAAATATTTTTATGCTAATATAAATTAAAATTTTTGTTTAAGTTCTAATTTTATTCTGTTTGACTTGAAAAAAATCAAACAAGACAAATACACTGATTCGAAGAAAATATTTGTTTAATTAACACGAGTAATGGGTTATACCCATTAGCGTGAATGAAATACAAACAATGTTAGGTGTACTCCAAAATGGAGTATCTTATTTGTACCCGAGGCACACAAATTTTTTATGTGTGTGCGTACCCAAACATGAAGAATTTGTATGTCTATGAATGTCTGATATAAAATGAGGTATCCATTTAGTGTTTTACATCCGGTAAAACACTAAATGCACCATGTTAACTAACTACACCCCGCTTAATTATGTTTTTATTTTAAAAATTTATGTAAAAATTACTCTCTCCGTCCCCAATTTGATTACAAATTGCGGGTTACGAAGTAAAATTTCTTACTTTTTGAAATCATTTTATTTACAAATTGGTATATCAATAAGATATAAAAATTACATATTAAAAAACAACGTCAAAAATTCTAAAAAACAAGATGTGACAAGAATATTTTATTTTATCAAGTACTTAATGAAATCGCGTAAACAAACAAAAGTTATCGAGAGGAGAGAAAAAAAATTGTAATCTATTTAGGGACGGATGAAGTATTATTTTAAAAATAACATTATAATAAAAAAATTTAAAATATTCACCATTTATTTCATGATACTCTATACTATTTTTCGAAAAAAAATATAAATTTTAATTTTAATTATAAAACTTTTGCTTCTTTCTTTAATTTTTCTAAAATTAAATTAATTCATTATTATAAAAATTAGATGGTAAGATGCATATTTTATAATAATAGAAAATGGAAAGATTTATACTCCCAAATTTAAGGGTATCTGAATGTAAATAAATGAAAGTTTTATAAATTAATGAAAAAAGAATATAATATTTACCAAAGTTTTAAATTTAAAATTTGTATATTTTTTTGAAAAGTAATAAAATGAAATAAATGGTGGATAGTTTATAAAAATTATATAAAAAAATTTCATTAAGTAAAGTTATATAAGTTTTTTAAAATTATGCATCACGAGGTGAATTTAGTTGATAGAGTGTATTTAGAGTTTTAGCGAGTGTCACTATCACTATCCAAAACTAAAGAGCATTACGTATTTACGTTCAACTTCTAACCTTTCTCATAATCTCATTCCACTAATTAATCAAGTACTTCTATTTCTTTTTAATATATTGAGCTAACCTTAACCCATACCTGCAAATAAGTGTTGGAAATTTTAAAGTAAATTGGACATTTTCGGATTATAGAGTCGGTAGGGTCCACAAAATTATTTTCCAAAATAATTATGGACGACTAATCTCGTAAGTAAGACGAACGTCTTGACATATGACACGTCATAAACGGTGCTCGGGTGAATGAGAAATTAATTCTCAAAGTTGAATACTAAGGTAGAGTAAATGCTTTTGTCCCACACCGGTTTCTAAACCTTTCGTATTCTCATATTTAAGCTTAGGCATTGAATTGAGCTTATGAAAGGAACAAGAAGAGGACTTCTCGCGCGCCGCCGCCGCTGCCGTCCGGCGCGGCACGCGTGCATCGGGCCGGGGCGGGGCGGGGCGCGCCCGCGTCTGCGGCGGGGCGTGGCTCTACGAGACGGATTTGAACACGTGTGGACACTTCGTGATTAACGAAGTGCCGTCCAAGAGAAATGCATGCATGGCCGACCGAAGAGTCGCCTGAGACTCCTCGGCATCTCTGTCTGGGCTGTCCAGTTAGCTAAGCCTCCTCCTATTTAAGGAGAGGTTGGTCGAGAGATGAAAAAATACTCGAAAACTCTCTCTCTCTGCAGTAAAACTCTTCCGGCGAATCCCCGATCTTCGATCATCTTTTCCGGCGATAACTTTCCGTCATTCTCGTTCGCCGGTGCTCTGTTCTACCGCTCTAGACTTAGCACGTTGCGGTTTTATCCTGGGAGGAGATTGCCCGCATTTGCCACTGCAGGAGGCGGGCAATACTACCTTAAGGAAAGCTTCGGCGACTCTGCTTTCCTAACCTTCACTTTGAGAAACTGCTCCGGCGAATCCCCGATTTCCGATCATCTTCTCCAAAGTCACGGCCCTGCTGTCTGTTCGTGTTCCCCCAGTCCGTTCGAGCTTCCGAAGACTCCAGTTTTATTTTCTTTATTTCTTGTTGTAAAATCCGAACGGTTTATAAGTTCGGATTATTATTATTATTATTTTATTCCCGCTGTAATAATCAACAATAAGAAATTCTAAATCACCAACAATAAGAGTTTTTTAAAAAAACAAAAATCTGAACGTTATGTTTGGTTCATAGATTTTGGTAGGGAAACGAAAGGAAAGTAAGAGAAACCATTTTTTCTTTGTCTGGTTAGAGTAAAAAAGGAAAAATAAATGTGAAAGTGAAAAAAATAGGAAAAAATATACCAAGAGGATGAAAAACTAAATTTTCCTCATTTTGCTAAGAGAAATGAGAAAAAATCAATTTTTTTCTCTTCTTTCCAATTTTCTTGAACCAAACATAGTGGAAGTGAAACTAACTAAACAAAGTAGGACACAGCTAACATGAGATCAGATCATCTTCACTTGCTGCAACATGCCCTTAATTTCAAAGGGTCTCATAAGTTTAGGGCAGTTGCATGCCCTTCTTGGGGCAAAGGGTATTCTTATTGTTGTGCATCCACACTTTGAGAACTCTCCTCTTAACCCCAACTTCTTGGCAGAACTGCTGCACCACTGACTCCTCCTCCTTGTGTATCTTCCACCCTACCCTCTCTGCAAACTTGACCATTTTGTCCTTCTGCTCCTGGCTGAACTTTGTCCTGTACCTCTTCTTCACCCCTGGCCCGCCGTCGTGTGGCTCCAATACGATGGCCTGATGGGGTGGGCCACTAGACAGAGCGTTGTCGTAGTGGCCCACCGGGTAGACCTTCGTATTGAGATGTGGGCCCGGGGTGTGGTGGTGGTGGTGGAAATGGCCTACCAATTCTTTCCTGTGGAAATTCCTGTGGCAATTGCAGGCAGAGCAAGTGAGGGATTCAAGGCTTCCTTCCTCACCATTGGGCATGAACTCACCACACCCATCAATGGCTATCCCTCCCATGGCAGCAGCATGGTTCTTCAGGCATTCCCTGTACCTGTACTTGATGTTGGCCATCTTCTTGTGGGTCCACATCCCTTGGTTGGCCATTGTGGGCCCATCATTACAAGATGGGATCTTTATGTGGTTGTGCATCATTTGGTGGTGGTGGTAGTGGTGGGGATGGCCACCACCACCATATGTGCTGTTGATGGGAATTGCCATTTCTGCATCCTCATTACTTGATGGAATCTCCATTCTTTTTTTTGTTTGGAGACCAAAAAGATTAGATTTTTTTAATAACAAAGAAAAACCCAAGATGGGATTTCAGCTTCTTGAAAAATGTCCACTTATTTGGGAACAAATGGGAGAGACAACATGCAAAACAACTAATTATTGATAGAATTAAAATTGGAGAACTTTTCTTGAAATTCAAAGAGGGGATATGTGAGAGTGAAGTTTTGAAGAATTAGAAATGCTTAGTTATGAGAGAGATGAGCTCCAAAAGTGATCATATATAATATGTGAACTTGAAGAGAGCATAAAGTAGAGAGAATATGAGAAATTGAAAGCATTAAGGGTTTTGAATGCTTCTGACTCATTTGTTCATTGCCTTTAAGAAGCAGATGAAAGTAATAGAGGGGGTGGGGGAGTTTGGGTTTTGCTGCTAGCTAGTGAAGATGGACTAAGCTTATTAGTAGTAGTGAGGGAAAAAAAGTGGAGAGAGAGAGAGAGAGGTGAGAGAGAGAATGTCTTGGTATGTAATGAGTAAATTGATATTTAGTCTTATTACCAAATATTATGTTCGTGGTCTTTTGTTTAGATGTATTTTATCACGGGTAGTTTTTTATTTGACTTCCTGTCATGTTGGTGTTGCTCAATTGAAGATTAAAAGTATAATTTTACATCGATTCTAGACCCGTAGAAATTTCTTAAAGTTATTGGGACTCATAGTGATCACAACAGTGAGTTTGGGAACGCTCCCTTGATCGAAAACTGTAATCAATTTGGTATCCGAGACGAGTTCTCGGCACCAAAAACCACCCAACAAAAAGGTATGGCTGAGAATAAATACCAACATTTCCAAAAATGGCCCAACCTCAAAAACCAACTCTTTGAGTTAAGTTTTGAAGCAATAATCAAATTAATGAGACAAATATATATTTAGTCCTAATAACCCCAAGACAACCTTTTAAGAGGTTTGTTTGGCTGGGAGAGTTGTCCATGGTGTCATCATCTCTAGTTTGACAAACAAATAAAACAAGTGCATCTTCTCCTATTCCACACTCCAAAGTTCCAATCATCATTTCACTTTCTTTCTTTTTTTTTGTGTTAAAAGTGTTGGAACAAAATTCACGCGCCAATTTGTCTTCTTTTCTTTTCATGCCAAACAAATGTTTTGTTATCATAATAGTCCCTCACCCCATGCTTCACCAACATACCACGGAGTATTTTTTTTATTGACATTACATTGAAATGATGGATGAGACTAGAGAGACAAGTTACATAATACTCTCTTATTAGTCCATTTTAAATATTCTCAGTTTGATTTTTATATCAACTTTTTTAACTGCAAATGAATGCATTCAATTCTGATATAAATCTAGCATTTTTTCGTCTCAAATATTTTTTGTACGGTTTGGTATTTAATTTACGAAAACTTTTCTTTAATTGTAGGTCTTGAAAGAACTTTTGACGTAGTTTTTAAAATATTCTTGCCACATCTTGTTTTGAAGAATTTTTGACATAGTTTTTAAATATGTAAATTTTATTTTTTATTTCTATATCAATCTTTAAATATAATGAATTGAAAAAATTTTGAAATTTTGCTTTGTTTTGCGTAATGTGGCAAATATTTTAGAATGGAGGAAATATCAATATGTTCATTTTGAAACATAATTTTAAAATATTACTCCCTCCGTCCCAAATTATAGCCTGTTTACTATTCACAGGGTCAAACTTCATTCACTTTCTTTCTCTATTTTCGTTAGCAATTTGATAAAATAAAATATTATTGTCACTACTAGTTTTGTAGATATTTTGATGTAGTTTTTTAATATGTAATTTTTATTTTTTAATTCTATACCATTTGTCATATAAAATGGTTTGAAAATAATTTCAGTCAAACATCGTAAACCGAAACAGGCGTTATAAAATGGGACGGAGGTAGTACTTTTTTATAATATATATCTTTCTACAAATAAAGATATTGAGGATCATGGTATTGGTTTGAAGATTTTGAAAAGTCAAATGAGAGGATTTAAAAGTAATAGAGGGAATAAGGTGAATAGGTGATACGTGGTAGGAACAAAAGAGAGAACCGGTCCAGGCAGTAACTTGGGAGGAAATAAATAAGTAAATTCAGCTTTAATCTTAGACTGATTAATATACAAGTCCGATCTGTGGATAATACATGCAAGGATCGACCTAATGCTACCCATGATCATCCTTCATCGCCATTGTCTCGAGTCGAACCCGGGAAGTACTTCCTATTGACCAACTAAGCTATATCTTCCCTAGGTAACACAATGGAAATAGAAGTACATGACTTGCATTGATTTTGAGTTAAACATCATACTTATTCTCATCAATTAAAGTTTATGACTACATAAAGAGATTTTTACAGCAAAATTATCTGTAGAATACAGTCTGTATAGCAATATATATATATATACACATACATACATACATATATATCTTATATATACATACACACACACACATATATATATATATTTGATTCAGATAAAAGTGTATCTTGAGGAGATCTCAAGTGCAAAAAAAAGATGACATATGGTTTGCAGGACAACACACAAAAACTGTGATTTGGTCAACTGCACATTGATTCTCAAAGACTCAAAATGTTGTACTGGCAAAAGACAATAATGTGCACCCTTTATTAGCTTAGCATTGTACTCCAATAATCTAAGACTTTTATCTAAAACTAAAAATTGTGTCATTTAGTTTGGATTAATTGCTACCATTTTCCTCTTTGTCAAATTTATGGCTTCCACCAAGGCCAACTTTTTCCACAAAAAGGCACACTTTCAATTATCAACTAATCTCAAAAATTTAGTTAAAGTTATCTCCATAACAAAATACTTCTCTCGTCCCAATTTAAATCGTTTGTTTTGGTTTACGATGTTTGATTGAAATTATTTTCTTATCATTATATAAGAAAAATGGTGTATAATTATAAAAGAAAAAGTACATGTTTAAAAACTCATTAAAAAGTCTACAAATTAGTGGTGACATGATTATTTTTTATCAAATAACTAATGAAAATATAAAAAAAAGTAAATAAAATTTGACCATATGAATGGACATACAATTTATTTTGGGTGGGAGAGAGTACTATACTCCAAACTCTAATTACCAGATTCCAAACTGCAAAATAAAGAGAATAAACACTATTCAAATACAAAGTACAGTTTACATTATCAAATATTATCCACTTTATTTGGACTCTTTTCAGTACTCATATGATAAAATAATTTAATTAAATCACTTTTTTGTTTTATAGATTTTTTGATATATTTTTTAAATATATAATTTTTATTTTTTTTTACTTATATATACTACTCTCTCTGTCCCAAATTATAATGCCTGTTTATTATTCACAGGATCAAACTTTATTCACTTTCTTTCTCTATTTTCGTTAGCAATTTGATAAAATAAAATATTATTATCACTACTAGTTTTGTAGATCTTTTGATGTAATTTTTTAATATGTAATTTTTATTTTTTAATTTTATACCATTTGTCATATAAAATGGTTTGAAAATAATTTCAATCAAACATCGTAAACCGAAACAAGCGTTATAAAATGGGACGGACGTAGTACCAATTTATTTTGAGATAAGTTGAATTAAAAATATTTCCAATCAAACATCGTATCTGAACTTTCTTTATTATTGTTTTGGAACTCATGTAGTATAATTAAGGCGAAAAAAACAAGACCTTGCACAATGCGATTTGAACATACAACTAAATTTCATTAGAGACGAAATATGCAGCAGTCAAACAAGTGAATGTTTAGTAAAACAAAAGCTCAGATGATCAGCATAAAAAACATGCTCTATCAAACAGTCCCCCAATCTTCCTTGGTACCAGTAGCATTCAGGGGGCATTTTGGGGATTTCAAGATTTCAGGAGCATTTTGCGGAACTCATCGTTTGATTTAGGGTTCTCGCCGTCTCCTCCCTCCGTTACCTGCTCCTGCTTCGGTTTACTTTTCAGCACGGCTCTCGGCATTGCAAATACGTTTTTACCCTTCAGCTGGATATTGCCTCCCTCAGTATCGACCGAGGGATTTCTTTTAGGCCCTTGACTCTGTTTTGGAGCTTCACTGCCATCCTTGGAATCTGCCTTTGAGTCTTTACTGCCAGAAGCACCTGTTTGGAAAGAGCATTTTTTAATAGCATTAGCAATTTAGATAAAATTTTAATGGTGTAGAATAATTCAGAAAATGCTAAAGCTAAAGGCTTCCGTCGGATAGCCTTTTCAAAATGCTAACGCTAATCTCTAATGCTAATGCCAAACGGAACCTAAGTCAAAATCAAATTTGATTTTCCTTTATATATTCCAAGGTGCAACCAAACTTTTAAAAAAACCTATTCTCCTTGGTACTAGTACTTTCTCCTTAAACTACCATTTTCCACTTCCAAAATAAAGCCTGTCACATGGAAACTATAGTACACGATCAACAACTTATAGATGCATCATATCCAGGAAAACATTTTGTTCTTGTTAATGAATAGAGGAAGCATTTGAATTTAGGTTTTACTATCACCATACCATGTTTTGGTGGCAGTCGTTTCCCTCTCTTCTGCTGAGGATCTGACTTCAGAATGCTAAGACTCTTCCCATGCAGTGTATGCTTGTTCTTTGCCAGAGCTGCGGCAAGGTGTTCATCATCACAAAAATCCACATAGGCCAGTCCCTATAAAAGTGTAGACTCTGAAAAATTAGAAACTGCTGAATGCCAAGGCTGCAAGCTATAATGTATAGAAATAATATACAGCCATAATCACAAAACCATGGAACCCAAGCAACACTGGTTTGAAAAGAAGACAAGATAGAGGCATCACAAAACCAAAAGAAGATAATGGTATTGGTATGCACTGTAACAGAAATAAGGTGTAATTTGGTAGACCATAATGGCATGCAATAATGTACCACAATCAAATATATGTCTACCAGTAGTTTAGTGAGATGTTATGAACATAATGTTGTCGAATGCATGTGTTGTGTAAGTTTAAACTAGAAATTTATTTGATAACACTACATGTTATTATGGTCTATGACAAAATTGCTCAACCTGGCAACAAAGAGCCACATCACCAGGAAAGGAAGACTCTACAACATAATTATGTGCACTTCTTTTACACTCGA